TGTCACATCAAAGTTATAACACTTTATCACTTAAAACAAAACATTATGCAATAATCTATATATAACAACAGGCGCATCATTGAAGCCTAGCAACATCAATGTAACCTAGCAATAACACTGGAGCCTAGCAACCAATGCTTTTCTATGGAAACGAGTACAAATTTACAAACTTATTAATGAAATCTACAATAGTCCATATGAAATAAAACTGAAAAGTTCTACAATACTGTAAACAGGATATCATACTGAGAATATGTTTTAGAGGTTCTCATGATAAAAGGACTGCTCTATAATATCATTTCTTTAATAGCAATTTTTCTGTTGAAGATGAAGGAAATTTTGGTGATATATTAATTTATCATTACGTTTAATTTTCCAAAAAGTGATGATGCACTTAAATTTGACTGCACCAGATTCAGTACATTTACAATTATCATTCCACAAATACAATCGTCGAGAATAAATCTCACAAACCAAAGATCACAGAAATGGTAGATATTATTGCATGCCTATTTTACTGGACTACATCTCAAACCTCTAATAGATTTGTTCTAACAGAAAAGCTGAGTCTATGAAATTAATGTGGAATTCAATAATTAACAAGTGAAACTATATCCCTGTATCAAGCATATGTGAAACAATGATTATGTACAAGTAAAAATGAAATGTTAAAAGAAAAAAAAAACCAACAAACAAAATTAAGTATAAACTAATCAGACATAACTTGTAAACATTGCATTAGATTTCAAATGACGATCACGGACTCCAATATATATATTTTTTAATTCTAATAAAAAGAAAATTCCAAGTTTTGCAAATATTTGGACTCTTCCTCTTCTTGTCTTTCTTTTCTTGCAGAGGATCGTAATGGTAATATGACTTGCTATGCATCGTAAACGTGTAAATCATATTGATCAGAAATCTATAACTGATTATCAGAAACCATTCAATTGGGTTATACAAAGCATGTGTACAGACTATGCAATATATATATTTTTGGCAATGACAATCTACTGAAATAAACCTAGATATCATTTTCAAATCAAGAGTTAACTTTTTTATTTGAAAATTGTTAAACACCTAAAAAGACTCTATCAGGTATTTTAAAAATAGAGATACCTAAATTGCAAGGAAAAACTGTTAAAAAAAAAAAATCTTTCAAACAGTTAAAAAATTAATTCTTTTAAGACTTGACATTTTTTCACTTTAAAACAAATTCTTTAAATTTATCCACCTAAAATGTCAGGACATTCTATTAAGCTTGTCAAATTCAAGTCTCCAGATTATGCAGTACATTGCACCTTGTAAAGCCAACTCAACATGCAATTATTAGTATTCCAATGAAGTCTATATTTACTGTGACAGATTCAGCTGCTGAATTCTCTAACAGACTTTGAGTTACTATAACAAATTATTGTAACTAATGACAGAAACTGTACGTAAATTTATCATTTTGGTATCAGGTATAAAAGTAAAATATTTTGTTAATACTGACAATTAGTTTTGTTACATATAAATTACAAAGCTGAAAATTATTTCAGGTGCAACTCTGTTACAGAAATATCAAAAGAAACAAAGGTGAAAAGATCATTGCATGCAATTTCAATACAGTTACTGTCCTGTATATCACAAAGTAAATTTAAGGCTTCCCCAACATAATTATCACAATAATATGGGCATTGGTTCTTCTGGAAATCTTTTCACCATCTTTTGTCAAGTTCAGGTCATTTCAAAACTATTTACAACTTCACAGTATCTGATATAATTTTTAAAATGGCATCACATCACACAATGCATAATTTTTTCCCCCAAAAATCTCAAGATCATATATATATATATTTTTCACAATCACAATTTTATCACATACACTCGCTCTGGCCAGTAAAACGTTAACTATAACAATCAGCGTCCAAAGATTGGGGGAAAACTGTTTACAATTACAGTTGTAGGCATAAAATGATAAAAGTATCAACATCATCATTTCATGGCTCAGTGACCAAAACAACTCCCAGGGAAGTCCATGGTCCATTATCGTGTGAAATATTTCTGTTTTATTCACAGTAAAACATTAAATGGATACATACCAGTTAGAAAGTTTTTGGAACTATCCAACACCATACAAGATCTAAATTATCACTCTTTCATTTTTTAAGAGATCTTATAAGCTATAAATTTCCTTTAGGCTAACTCTGATTATAAATTAACTTAAAATCTTGATCCATTTTGTTTGAAATGCCGTGATAAGAAAGAAATGTTACTCAAATTCTGTATAAATCAGCTACATTTAAACAGGCAAATTCTGTCAGAGTACCTGTATAAATCAGGTACATTTAAACAGGCAAAGAGAGTACCTGTATAAATCAGGTACATTTAAACAGGCAAATAGTACCTGTATAAATCAGGTACATTTAAACAGGCAAATTCTGTCAGAGTACCTGTATAAATCAGGTACATTTAAACAGGCAAATTCTGTCAGAGTACCTGTATAAATCAGGTACATTTAAACAGGCAAATTCTGTCAGAGTACCTGTATAAATCAGGTACATTTAAACAGGCTTATTGTTCAGGATAAAGTATTCTTCATTTCTTTCAAGAATTTTCATCTGATATATTAAACAGGCAAACAATACCTGTATAAATCAGGTACATTTAAAAAGGCAAATAAGATACTGTATAAATGTACATTTACATTTTTAAATCAGGTACATTTAAACAAAATCCTGGTTAGCTACATTTAAACAGGCTTAGATAAAGGAAATTGATATATTATCACAAAGGGAATAACCTGCCCAATCTCAATAAGAGTCATGTGATACATTTTTATGTACATCAAAGTCCTGGTTAGCTTTAACAGAAGGAAATTTATAATTATGAAACACTAATATGTAAACAATACTGGTAACAATGATGAAGATACTTGTCTCTCTGACAGTAACAAACTCTCAACAGTCATCAGAAAACAACTAATATTATAACAAGCACCAAAAGAACAAAACGTTCCCAGGATATTTTAAAGTATATCCCCAGTACAAAGAAACGGGACATTCCTCAGAACATATCCCCAGTACAAAGAAACGGGACATTCCTCAGAACATATCCCCAGTACAAAGAAACGGGACATTCCTCAGAACATATCCCCAGTACAAAAACGGGACATTCCTCAGAACATATCCCCAGTACAAAAAAACGGGACATTCCTCAGAACATATCCCCAGTACAAAGAAACGGGACATTCCTCAGAACATATCCCCAGTACAAAGAAACGGGACATTCCTCAGAACATATCCCCAGTACAAAAAAACGGGACATTCCTCAGAACATATCCCCAGTACAAAAACAATGGAACGTTCCTCAGAACATATCCCCAGTACAAAAAAACGGGACATTCCTCAGAACATATCCCCAGTACAAAGAAACGGGACATTCCTCAGAACATATCCCCAGTACAAAAACAATGGAACGTTCCTCAGAACATATCCCCAGTACAGAAGAAACGGGACATTCCTCAGAAAATATCCTCCAGTCCAAAAAACGGGACATTCCTCAGAACATATCCTCCAGTACAAAAACAATGGAACGTTCCTCAGAACATATCCCCAGTACAAAAACAATGGAACGTTCCTCAGAACATATCCTCCAGTACAAAAACAACGGAACGTTCCTCAGAACATATCCCATACAGAAACAATGGGACATTCCACAGAACATACCCAGTACAAAAACAATGGAATGTTCCTCAGAACATATCCAGTACAAAAACAATGGGACATTCCACAGAACATATCCAGTACAGAAACAATGGAACGTTCCTCAGAACATATCCAGTACAGAAACAATGGAACGTTCCACAGAACTTTTCCAGTACAGAAACAATGGGACATTCCACAGAACATACCCAGTACAAAAACAATGGGACATTCCACAGAACAAATCTGATACAGAAACAATGGAATGTCCCTCAGAACCTATCCTCCAGTACAAAAACATTGGAACATTCCTCAGAACTTATCCAGTACAAAAACCACTGAATGTCCCTCAGTACACACCTTTGATAAAAACATTGAAACATCATGCAGAACACATCCTGGGCGAAGAAAGTGGAACATTCTTTGAAACACTTTCAGAATGAAACAACAAAACTAAAAAAATCATGATAAAGATACATATACACAAAAACATGGCAACTCAATATAACTAGAAAAAATTGCCATTTTTATAATCCAATCCCACTGAAAATTATCCAGAGATCACAAATGTATTTTGAGATTTTTACGAAGAAGAAAAGAAGAATTCATCAGATAGTCACATGACGATGTCACAACGATCCCAAAGAAGATCAAGTTATTTTGATAAACATTTTTTTCTGTCTCAAAATAAAGTGCATTCAGACTATACATCACAATGTCGTACAAAACTAAAACTGCAGCACTACACAAACAATAATTTGTTCGAAAACCAACTTGTATGAAACATGGCTTTAAAATTAAAATGTTCATGTATACTTTTGCCAGTAATTCTGAGCACAATAAAAACCACAGCTTTTTAATTCTTCATGCTATATAAACACTAGACAATAATACTTATTTATGTTTGATGTTCCAATTTTCATTTTGTAGAAATCATTCAATACTCAGATTCTATCAATTATTTTCTATGTTAATCATTTGACATTACTTCCTTGTACCATTTTCCTAGATTCAGAGTTTTTCACTCACATCTCAAGACTGTACTCTCATCTCAAGTCTGTATTCACGTCTCAAGACTGTACTATCATCTCAAGTCTGTATTCACATCTCAAGACTGTACTCTCATCTCAAGTCTGTATTCACATCACAAGACTGTATTCACATCGCAAGACTGTACTCTCATCTCAAGTCTTTACTCGCATCTCAAGACTGCTCTCATGTCCAAAGTCTGTACCATCAATCATCATAACATTGTGTTCATATTTGAAGGATTTCTAAAATCATACAGGTTCTTTCCCCTCCTTCATAAATTGTTCAAAGATCAAAAGATTTTTTCCTCTTAAGAGGTGAAATGTTTGATGAATTTTTCTTGGGCGTTCGAGGTCGTCGCTTCTCAGGAGATGTTGGGGAGGCTGGCACATCATCTGGACGTTTCTCATTTGGTGCCGTGACCAGAAGATGTGCAAGAATACTACTATCTTGCACTGCATCTCCGTGGACTGTGAGGAACAGGATTAAAGCTGCCTGTATTGACAGGACTCGATCCTGGTTTTTGTCACCTGGAAACTGATCCCAATATATGGTATGCTCCCAAAGGTGTTTCACAAAACAGACCCGGCTCTTGTACAGCTTTCCTGCAGCAGAAAAAGAGTGTCCTAATTTCTTGGATACAAATAATATATTTGACTACCAACAGGTACTTGTCCTTAACAATATACAAACCGCACTCCTCCAAAACAACAAGAAGAAAAGTAGACCTGACATGGACATGAACTCCTAAATCAGTCTAGTTTTAAAAAGTTATTGGATTTGTTTATTGCTGCATGCTGATACTGATATAGGCCACAACTTATCTTCCTTAGCTTTGAGAAAATATAAACTGAAAACAATATATGGTAGATGATTGCCAAATTTATCATCCTTAGAATATTCAGAGACTTGGAGCTTTCAATTTGTCCGCCGTTATCAAAGAAAAAAACATATAACACAAAAAGAAAATGCACTTTCATTTAACATCATCGACAGTAGCACAGTGGACACCAGTTGTGTACGAAGTGCCCTTCCATAAACAGTACTTCTATGTTCACTCATGTGGGACGAAAGACCCTCGTACCGGTGAACTGAATAACTGCTAAATTTAGCCTATATTCCCACGACAGTTTACACAACGGTTTCAATGGGTATACATAAATTTACGTCTTCTTATTCATTAAACGTAAACAAAAGTATTTCATGAATGCAAATCAAACGATGTCATACTTCACAAGGATTTCGGAACTTGTGTAGATTTACGTTTATTTTGGCTTGATATCGACGGTTCCAACGTTAACTTGCACATCGGAATGCACAAAGCCGAAACTTTCTAAAAAAAAAGTTTGCAATTTTGAGTTTTGTTGGTTGTCAATCGTCTTATTTCAATTATTGTTAACACCTTCAAATTACTCCTTTGTTCCATCCTCATGAAATATATAAATGAGATCGACTTACCACATACGCTGCAGTTGATCCCACCATCGTAATCTTGGTATTTACTCAAAACAGCAATTACACCACCGATGTCTAGTGAACGGTGTGACACTCCGTTTGAGTCGTAATGTCGACATCTTGGATCGAGTCTCATTCGTTTAGGCCTTTCCTCGAACCTCAGATGGCTAGAGGTGTCAATTTCTGTGGCGATCATTTTGGAAGTAATCCGAAAGTATTCCTTGTTCCAAAATTATAATCGCTGTCACACTGCAGAGCTTCTAACCTCGTGGTTCCAGACCATAACAATATCACGTGACTGTTTATTTATCGTCTAATCCAATCAGATTATCCCAAATCTTACCGCCATTGAATACCACGTGGATTTTTCGCGGGAAACGGTATGACACCTTTGCGCATGGTATGTTTATTAATTCAATCTGTGGTTAGAGGCACATTTGGGTTTTTTTTCACAAATAAAATTATAATGACAGTAACATTCGATAATATGCCTTATTACATATTCAATCGCACACGTAAACTTTTCAAAAGGCTGTGTATTTCTGGTTGTTCATTACCAAGACATAATTACGAGAAATTAATAACTCATAATTACGATAATTTCGCTAGTGACGAAAATAATTGACACGTGACATTCCTGAAATTCTTCAATGATATTACCAAAGTATTACCCTACTTACATAAGTTCTATTTATATAATGTTGACAAACCATTTTCTTAAAGCGCGGGAATAGCACCTCCGATTTTTACTATACAATTAAAGTAAAATAAGAATAATAGATACATACCAACAGAGACGTATATAACACATATATACCAATTGTGAAATAATTTATCAACCGATTTACAATAGGGACATGACGTCGTTCACGTTGCAAAATTAATGCATTCTTTATCCATATCCATCTTTAAATGGCAATATTTGCAGATTTAATTCAATTATTTTGACTGATAATGATTTTAAGTAAAAAGAGGAGTGTATTTTCTTCCTTTTTTTTCTCTTTAGCGTTTCTTGTAATCATCCTCAAAATAAGTAACATATAGAGATTTAAAGAACGAAGAAAAGGAGAAATCAAACGAAAAGAAATGATTAACATTTTCAAATGTAAATGTGGTAAACATGACCATGATTCGTGTCAATCGTGGCTGTAGCCTTTAGGGAGTGTTATATATGTACAGGCCTTGGGCCTAATTGATCCATCATTGTGATAAAAGAAGACAATGTTTTTTTAAACAAATTTTAAAATCCATCTAGTATACTCGCGTTAGTGTTTAAAAAGAGAGTGAGACCATCACCGCGCGAAGGGGCGAGGGAAAGGCGGACGATATCGAAGAACGGTGCGAAATCGTCTAATGACGAATCAGGGGAAATAACTCTATGTATTCACTTTTCCGAACCTTGCGCCAATAACTGGGACACGACAAAAAGCGATATTACCATGAAAAAAAGAACCAACAACCAGCAAAACCCTCAGCATCAGGACTGAAAACGGACTTGAAAGCAAACACTAACAAAGTGTGACGAAAGATGAGCATGACGCATTTTGTTTATGCCAGGTCATGGCGAACTTACAAAACATGTGTATAACAGGAAGGAGCAAATGATTGTTTTTGTTATTATCACTTGATTTTCGAATGAGATTATACACTTCAATGACTTTTTAAATGAGATTTTTATATGAATCATGTAAAGTTTTGAACAACAGAACAGTTTTCATTACAATAGGCTGAAAGTCTCTAGTGTCAGTTTTCATAATTCAGACAACTAAAGGCCTAGTGACTAGTGATTACAGGTGACGAAAAGCCCCCCAATTCAGTTTGCCTTGTTGAAGACTAAAAGTCCCCCGACTCAAATGTTCATTCAAAAGGCAGAAAGGTCTCCCGAGTTGGTTTTCATTAGAGTAGACTGCCAGCATTTCTGAGTGCCTCCTCACGTCAGTTCTAAGTTAGTTTTCATTGCGGAAGAGTGAAGATCTCCAGAGTCAAGATTTCGTTACAAAAGGCTGAAGCTGTCCCTAGTCAGTTTTCATTCCAGTAGACTGGGGGCATTTTTGAGTGTCTCCTAAAAGAAGAAAGAATAAGTCCTTAGTCAAAAAAGTTTACAGAAAGCTGAAGGTCTCCGGAGTTTTCATCATAGAAGGTTGTGCAGGTCTTCCAGTTCAGTTTTACAGAAGACAGGTGACCCTGGTCAGTTTTGAAGGTCTCCTGGTTCAGTTTTACAAAAGACAAGTGTCTTGAGTTAGTTTTACAGAAGACAGGTGTCCTGGTCAGTTTTGAAGGTCTCCTGGTTCAGTTTTACAGAAGACAAGTGTCTTGAGTTAGTTTTACAGGAGACAGGTGTCCTGGTCAGTTTTGAAGGTCTCCTGGTTCAGTTTTACAGAAGACAAGTGTCTTGAGTTAGTTTTACAGAAGACAGGTGTCCTGGTCAGTTTTGAAGGTCTCCTGGTTCAGTTTTACAGAAGACAAGTGTCTGGAGTTAGTTTTACAGAAGACAGGTGTCCTGGTCAGTGAGTAAAGTTTTGAACTGTATATTTTACATCATCAGTAAACATCAATGTAGTGTGTACAGTTTTGAACTGTTTATTTGCTGTTTCACAGAAATGTTCATGAGCTGCAGTTTTAACTGAATAAAACATATTTCTTTGTACTGTATGCTGATTTGATGGTCTATTTCATTAAGTTTATTTTCTCTTGTGTTCTGGCCTCGACAAAAAAGTCGGGTAATTTCATTGTTCATTTGCTGACTGGTTTAATGCCCCACAAACAGCCCAAGTAATTTTGAGGCAAGGTCACCTTGTAATAGATGGTGGCTACCTCTCCGAGAGAAATAGAATCTGTTATCTGTTTGTGTTTAAATGATTTATCTCCGTTGAGGTCTGATATCCTGTGACAAAATCTCATTCAAGATAAAACTGAGAGTAAAATATTAAACAAGCCTAGCAGCCTTGATGAGTCACCTGAGATAAGCAATATTGAATATAAAGGTTAAAGGATAGTTATCAAGTGTCATGAAACAGAAATTGTGACACTGAATATAGTAAGTCAGTATCAATACATGCATACCATCAAAACTGTCATCCTTTACTTTAATTCTTAGTTATTTCCAGTTGGAAATATTGTCAAAATGCAAAATTTCTATGAAAATTACAGTAAAGTTTAAAAAAATCTTCCTCTACAGGAAGAAATGTGAGACCCATTTTGGTAATTACAGCACCTTAATATGCTTCCATTCATATAAAGCATTTCATTCTACCATATCTGGGTGAAGAGAAGATTTTTCAAATCTGAATCCATTTGACCGCTTTTGGTCCTGCCCATCAGCCCTTGCGGGTCAGCCAGGATTACTATGGGCATACCATCAAGCCATCATTCCTCGCTCATAATTCTAATGAAGTTTGAAATATTTCAAATGAAAATGAAATCAATTATACTCAAAAATCTATTTTCCTAAATAAACTATAGTAAACTGTACCCCCTCCCCATGGGGAAATGGGAGACCCTGGGGCCATGAAATTCACAATTTGTGTAAAGCATCTTAAGATGCTTTGATCTATGAAAAGCATTTGATTCTACTAATCTGGATGTCGAGAAGAAGATTTTTGAAAAACTGAGTCAGTTTGACCCTTTTTGGCACTGTCCCTCAGGCCACTGTGGGGTTGGGACTGTATCATTCACAATTTTAGTTCATCATAAGCCAAGGAAGATTTCTGCTGGTATTCATTCTGTGGTTTTTGAGAAGATTTTGAAAATGTTAAATTCTTTACAGCCGCACAGTGCACAACACCAAACAAAGGTGATCACAATAGGTCACCATAAGATTTAGTCTCAGGTTTCCTAACAATGTCAGCCCAAGACTGATTTAAAACTTCAACATGTTAAATGGGTAAGTTTTTTTCTTGTGTAGTATTGCGTAAAAATGTATAAACCTTCCTCAAGTTTCACTTCCGAATTCTTCCTCAATTAGATTACCTCCCTTTGCAGTTATACATCAGTAAGACAATTGAATATGACACCATATTGATTGTTATGTCACTTGGCAGGTAATTATCAGTAAAGGCAGCAGACAGATTGGATGAGACAGACAGCACTGGTTAGTACATTAGATTTTCATGTCTTACATGCATGAATGACCTATCCCGACTTGTCGTTTTGTTCCAGCTATCCTAGTAAACACTTTCTCTGAACATAGAGTCCAGATTGAGGAAACAAATAAAACATTAACAAGAATTTACAAATAACCATATTTATTCCTCACAAACTGGTATAACCCTTTGCCTGTATATAAATCATTCACACCCCTTCTCAATAATGAGCTGTTCCAGTTACACTAAACACTGTCAACTGGAACATTCAACTCCATTACATTAGGTGCTGAATCAACATAAAACGCATGATAATAAACTGATATGTTTAAACAAAAATTGAAATGTTAAAATGAGACTTGTTATTAAACTTTTTTTTCCTGTGGTTACATACACTGCATTATACGACAATTTTCAAATAATTTTATTACAAAAATATTGTAAGACATGGATTATAATATAATGTATAGGTTTTATTAGGTTTTATCCTTCAATAAGTCCAGGTTTCACCAAGTTACCTCTGACTTAAAGTCAGGAGGTGGGCTTATTTATCCTTCTATAAGTCTAGGGCTCAGTAAGTTACCTCTGACTCAAAGTCAGGAGATGGGCTTATTTCTGCACAAGAAGTCCAGGTTTCACCATGTTACCTCTGACTCAGTCAGGAGATGCGCTTATTTCTGCACAAGAAGTCCAGGTTTCACCAAGTTACCTCTGACTCAAAGTCTGGGGATGCACTTATTACAGGAAATAAGTCCTCTGGGGCACCAAGTAACCTCTAATCTTAAGCCAGGGGTGTGTTTATCACATGACAGTCAGTCCAGGTAGACAACACAATGTTGAAGAACAGCAATAGATATGGTTATTACAAGGCCTGGGTTTACTTCAGGATAAATACAGTATTCCTATATCAGCCTGGACTTACTTCAGGATAAATACAGTATTTCTGTATCACCCTGGGTTTACTTCAGGATAAATACAGTATTTCTGTATCACCCTGGGTTTACTTCAGGATATATACAGTATTTCTATATAACCCTTGACTTACTTCAGGATAAATACAGTATTTCTATATCACCCTGGAATTACTTCAGGATAAATATAGTATTTCTGTATCACCCTGGGTTTACTTCAGGATAAATACAGTATTTCTGTATCACCCTGGGTTTACTTCAGGATAAATACAGTATTTCTATATCACCCTGGACCTACTTCAGGACAAATACAGTATTTCTGTATCACCCTGGACCTACTTCAGGATAAATACAGTATTTCTGTATCACCCTGGACCTACTTCAGGATAAATACAGTATTTCTATATCACCCTTGACTTACTTCAGGATAAATATAGTATTTCTGTATCACCCTGGGTTTACTTCAGGATAAATACAGTATTTCTGTATCACCCTGGACCTACTTCAGGATAAATACAGTATTTCTATATCACCCTGGACCTACTTCAGGACAAATACGATATTTTTACTTCACTCTGGGGTTTACTGCAGGATACAGTTTTTCTATATAATCATATATAACAGACTGTATAATGATCTTCCATGTTTTATATTTGAAAATAAATTGCATGGGGAGAAAAAATTGTGCAAATAATGTTGAAACATTTTATTAAATCAAAAGTATTAATATGTGATCTGATTAGATATTTTTTTGATATCTTTTGACATGATCGTTATTTTTGAAACACCATGACAAATTTCATAATGATTTTCTGAAGTGACCACTTGTAATATTTTCCCCACAAGTTTGTGTTATGATTCCCCTACTTGTAGTTTTTTGTTTATCATCCTGGTCTGTTACATGAGCCCAGCTGAGACTTTTATTAAAAAATGGCCTTGTGCAAAAAACAAATAACCAAAAACCAAAAAAATTATAATTGAACATGAAGCCCCTTCTTTCTTTCTCACAACAAAATAATTAATTACAACCGTTTTCCTTGTTACCTACTGGCCAGATAGTCCTCACAAATACTGAACTTCAGATATGAAGAAAATTAGAAAATGATAAGGAAAAAATCATTAGGGCTAGATCAATCAAAACATGGCATTGAATTCAATTGAAGATGAACTTAATTTCGAATGATGTGATCTGAGTGAGGGAAACACTTACTTATACGAAACATCAAAGACAAAATAATGTGACCATCTCACTGAATAACTGAAGAAAAAAAAAGAATTTTAATTCACAGAACGTCATAGAACGTTTTTGTAAAGACACTGATGAAATTTTTCAACAAACAGAATTCGACATCACTTGCATAATCTCCTTAAAATGCATCTATACATTTTTGAGTATGTAATTTTCAGGGTGAGGGAAGGGAGATAACTACAAGGCAGTGCAGGGCAAGTTACACATGTGACAACACAACTCCATGTGTGTTACAACACCATCTTAGATCAGAGGACCAAGTCTTTATACAATTACACCTCTGTCAACATCTCAAGAGTTGATCTAGCAAAACCAAAGAACAGAATCAAATTTTATTAATTGATCTGATCATTATTTATCTTTCCTTTTCATATCACAAATACATCTTTTGAAGAAATGCCCCATTAGATAACCAGCATATTTTTGTCAAAAATACACATTAATGGCACAGCTTTCAGAACCAAAAAGTGTTTTTGAAGCATCTAACTGCAAAGGACCAAATCATGTTTCTTTAACTGGAATATCACTGAGTAGGAAACTAGGGATACAAGGTTATAAATACACAACCGAATGAAATTTACAACATTCATCACACATATATATATTTATATATATAAACCAACTTTTAAAAAAAAGTTTTAAGTATAATTTTACCAATATACAGAATAATATTTTGGAATAAAAACTACCAAAAAGACAATTAACAATCGTGAGCCAAGGGGAGTAACTCACTTTGCACTTGATATGACCTTTACACTTTTGCATACAAATTTGTTCATTAAAAAGATACATCTACATATGGAAGCAAATAATGTATATGACAAACAATATATATATATTTTCAGATGCATGATAAACCCATTAAATGTCTTGATTGATTTAAAGTAATAACCTCCAGGGTCATCTTAAAAAGAGTAGTGATTTGATTGGATAAAATATTTGTATTAGATTACCTGATTGGTCAAAACATATACTGTGAAAACGCACCCATGAATTTGTGAATTCGGAACACGTAGGGGCTACAAGACTGAACAATCTTTATATAAATTGACACCAAAAATAAAACACAAAATCAGGAGTGAAATTGAAAAGGTCTCCTCATATGAATACTTCATAAAAATTTACTGTACCTACCTATGGCTCTATAAATAGATTCACATTCACAACATATTAAATACACACAAATGATGAACATTCAACTGGAAAATTTGTCTGATGATCTGCTATAAATTATTAAATATTATCACAACATGAACAGCGGTTGGAATTTCCTCTTTTTCAAATCATTTCGAAAAATATCAACACTTAAAAAAAGAAATAAAGTTCACAAATCCTATGTAATAATTCCATACATAACTGTTAGGATCTGGAATCTCTACAATTTTAGTTCATCTTTAGAACTAAAATATCATCTCTAGGACACCATCACCTGTCCTTAAAAAGGTTCCATTTATCCCCTATATGTCAGGATTTTCTTTTAAAGATCTGCAAACTCAAAAAACCAAAATAACTCTATAGGAAAAATTAACCTTTGTTTAGATTTCAGCAGCCAAAATTATGAGTTTAGTGACGATGGTTAAGATTTTAAGCAATCACAATTTATAGTTTAGTGACTGTAATTAAGATTTTTAGCAATCATGATTTCGAGTCTAGCGACCATGAATAAGAGTTTGCAATCATGATTTTGAGTCTAGCAACCCTGATTAAGATTTTTAGTAATCATGATTTTGAGTTTAGCAGATTCTATCAAAAGAAAACACTGAAATATTATAAGATGGATCAATAACAGATACTGAACTAATTCCATTTAAGAGATCCACATTCTTCTGCTTTTGATGAATTGGAAACTTCAAGGAAACTTGACAACTCAAGTCGCATAGTTAAGTGTTTGAAGAAGAAAAATGCAATAAAAATCTTCTTCCAATAATAAGAAAAGTTCAGAAACTTTTCAATCGAAAGATAAATGATTTGAAGGAGGAAACCCAAACCAACTTTTGGAATTAAAATTGAAATAAATTGATATAAAAACTGCCCTGTAATGCTATAAATATTTAAGTACCATCATATTACAAAATAAGTGTGATTCTGTCTATACATTTTCCCTTTTATCTTGAAATATTTCATGATGATTGCATGTTTAGTATCTCTTACGGACATGCCCTTCTGCATTGTACTAAATACATATTGTAATCAGATTCCATTTGGATTATATAAGTGTTCTATACAGGGTTACATACATTGTAAATAGGTATAAATACTTTATATAACAACATACTGAATGCATGTATACAAAATAATTTTTGCAGCAGTCTTTTTTTTCAAGAAATTTCTAGGTATAACAAATCCAATAATTCTTACATTGACAATTAAACATAATTGAAAATACTATTGTTTTAGAAATGTGTCTCTGAATTCCTTTTAAAAAAGGCAATCTGGTTTTTCTGAAATATACCTCAAATCTAAGCAGCAGTAGTAGGATTATTTGTTCGGCAAATATATCTTCATTAGATTATCGTCATTGGTGTATGACCAAAAGAAAAAAAAACATTTCTATGACATTCATCAACATCACAAAAGAAATACCTTCATTAACAAATGAATTCTTCCTTAGAAACCAATATAAGATGGTTCATTCCTTGACCTGGTGGAATCTATATCAGTTAGCAGGGGGAACATTCATTTTAATACAACAAAGCATTGATATTGGAAGACAGTCATCATAAAAAAATAAAAATTCTACATTTGTTAAGATTTTGAAATTTTCTGGATTCCTTAATTATCATTCATCACTTTCATATCTACAAAAAGAATCCTTTAAATAAATAACAAGAAAAAAGAGAGAGAAAAAAAAATGTCCAAACAATAAGAGTTGGTATGAATTTTTCTTATTTCACAACATTATTACAAATCTATACTTAGGAAAGTAACTCAATCTCTTTGGAATCAACCATTTGACAAAATGAGCTCAAGACATTTATCACTCCATGAAAGCCACTGAGTTAAATCGTACTTGGCATCATATTTATTTTCTATCATGCAAATTATCAGGAGTTACCTCCCCTTAATTTCTTATTCTCCTCAGCGACAGTGAATGTCAAGAGGACTGAAGTGTTTTTTTTTCCCTTTTTCTATCTTTATTATTTGCTATCTATAGTCAGTTATTGCAGGTAAATGTAACTGAGTCTTGTGAAATGGTCAAGACAACTAACTCTATGATACCCAAACATAAAATATTTTGCAACTGAAATTACGAAAGAAAGAAATCATACAAAATATTTCATAAAGGGATTCCATTAAATGTAATATATTTTCCATCAAATTATCTCATATAAATCTCTTTGTTTAATTTTCTTCATGGAAATTCTATTTGTGACACACTTGATAAAAAGTTTCATGACAAATTAACTGAAAAAAAAAATTTGGAAAAAATATTAAACCAGTGCTATAAAAATATTGCTACTTATTAATTGATGAGGACAATGATCTGATCTGACTCAACATTACAGAATCAAATTAATGTATCAATCTGAGAACATGAATTCTGACTGACACAAAATAAAAACAAGAAAAAAACAAATAACCATCCATCCTTTGAAATCCATCACTTTTTTTCTAATCTTTTGACCAAAATTCTCTTTGCAATGCCTAAAATCCTACTGATTTTTTTTAAAATTCAAGAATGAATCAAGTTTAGTTTAACTTTACTCATCTAGTTTAACAATACAAAATATTGTTTAACAAATAATGGATTTTTTAGCGAAAAAATTGATATAATATCAATTACTAAGAAAATATGAATACATGTAATATGAATTTAAGAAACAGACTTTTTTTTGGTTATAAAAATTTAAAAAAATTGCTAAGGGAATGATTACTTAATCACTCAATAGGTTTACAATTTTTGTCTAGATATGTGAGAAAAAATTAAATATAAGAATGAATGATCCATTTGACAAAGGTGGAATCTCATGACACTAGTGTCCATGATGTATATAAATCTGTCTATTCCCTTTTATTGAATTAAATGTCATCCTTTGTAAATTCTGATGATGTTTATCTTTTTTAGTAGAAAAATTCATAAGACAAAAGGGAGAATGACCTGTTAAGAGGAAATGGAACACTTTGATGTAAAATCCAGTCTATTTCAACCAAATATTTATGCCATTTATTGTACTGTTTAGACAGGTTTCACCAACCTAAAATCAACAAGACCATGCCAGAATTTATTATCTGTAGTGTACCATTTAGACTGGTTTCACCAACCTAAAATCAACAAGACCATGCTATATCTTGTTCACATAAAGATGGGAGAATAAGACAGCCGCAAAAAAATACAGAATTAAAATGGTCACTCACTTCCGCACAAGTCTCACTCTTATGAACCAATTTAAAATTAATATTTTTTACAAAAAAGAAAGAAAATGATGAGAAGTGACTTTGTCACCAATATCACAGTAACCTAGAACAGGACAATCTTTGTGACCCTGTGACTGATCCAGCACGTTTCATAAGGTGAACTAGTCTACCAATCATCTGATCAGTCTCTCTGATTAGCCTATATTTGGACCAGCCACACTAGTTAATATTTTAACTGGTCACTCTAATTAGTCCATAGTGTGAGCGGTCACTAATTAGTTTAACCAGTCACTTTTTACATAGTCTGTACTTTGACCAGTCACTCTGTTTAATCAATATTTTGACCGGTCAAAGTCCTTACTTCAACTGGCCACTAGTACAAAATTTGACTGGTCATTCAAGTAGTTTATATTTTGCCCGGTCATTGTTAATGGGCAGTTGAAACTGACCTCAGCACTGAGGCTATGTCAGTAGCATTATTTTCCTGTCCGAGCAAGGCATTGGTCCATACTAAATTGTATTGTAGGGAAAGACAACTCCATACATGAGGTAAATCCAATCAAAGGGAGATAATTATTCTTATCACTTTTTCTTTTGCATTTTCTTTTGCTCTTTTTCCTTTGCTTTCCTCTCTTTTTCCTGCAGCTTCTTTTCCTTGTCCAAAGCCAGCTTTATTTCCTTTATTTTTTTCTTCAGCAAGTCTCTATCTTTGCTTGAAGTCACACCAAGGGCCTATGATAACATGAAAGAAGTACTATTAAAAAGTTATCAATTTGGAAAGCATCTTCAAGCAACTGAAAAATATTTTGTACAAATATTTCTGTGTTCTTGTTCTGTTTTTTCATTTCACATTAAAAATTAACATAACAAACCTTGAGTTTTGCACCATCAAACTGCAGTAACTGCGTGCCCGAGACGTTTCTATCTTTGAACATTGGGATATACTTGTCCATTTCTAAGGCCATAAGCCAATGACAGACATTCTCATTGGTCCATTCAGCAATAACACCAGATTGGAACTGGTTCACGTTCCTTCGACTTCCTGGGCCAGTTGGTGTTTCCTGTCAAGAAGTTTGTTTATTAAGTACATGAAAGTCAAGCTGTCGCTGAGGAAATACTGATAAAGAGTGAGAAACTAGGACTACAAGGAATAAAAACCTTGTTATTATCAGTAAAGGACAAGTTGGTGTGCTGAGTTTGACTATGAAACAAGATCATTTTGAGGCAGGGTTCATAGCTATGGATAGGATAGTCTTATTGGAAGAGAGAAGGGACTTCCATGGCCTGGTCTGTAGTCTTTGTAAACTCAGGTTAAGATTCGAGATGCGTGGCTGGATGCCCCCTACCATTCATAGTACGTGTTTCTTGGGAAACTGAGAAACAATACAATCTGCTGTGTTTGTGCCCTTAGGTAAGCATGCTTTACCTCAACAACTCTGATGGAAATGGAACAGACTCCCCTATGTTGTTCAATAAGGTAGCAACCAGCAACAGCAACAAATAAGCACAATTAGCAAAGAATACAAATATTAATATTACCTCAAATTTCGTATCATATTTCTTCTGTAATTTCAACATATCAATAAACATCTGGCCAAGAATATATTTCTTGTCAGCAAAACAAAATTCAAACACCTCTGTACTTTAGGTAGCATACTTTGAAAGTGTGAAATCCTGTATAGAATTAATTACTAAATTCATATACCTCTGTACTTTAGGTAGCATACTTTGAAAGTGTGAAATCCTGTATAGAATTAATTACTAAATTCATATACCTCTGTACTTTAGGTAGCATACTTTGAAAGTGTGAAATCCTGTATAGAATTAATTACTAAATTCATATACCTCTGTACTTTAGGTAGCATACTTTGAAAGTGTGAAATCCTGTATAGAATTAATTACTAAATACATATACCTCTGTACTTTAGGTAGCATACTTTGAAAGTGTGAAATCCTGTATAGAATTAATTACTAAATTCATATACCTCTGTACTTGGGGTGCCAGAAATATTGAAGGTGTGAAATCCTGTATAGAATTAATTACTAAATTCATATACCTCTGTACTTGGGGTGCCAGAAAGATTGAAGGTGTGAAATCCTGTATAGAATTAATTACTAAATACATATACCTCTGTACTTGGGGTGCCAGAAATATTGAAGGTGTGAAATCCTGTATAGAATTAATTACTAAATTCATATACCTCTGTACTTGGGGTGCCAGAAATATTGAAGGTGTGAAATCCTGTATAGAATTAATTACTAAATTCATATACCTCTGTACTTGGGGTGCCAGAAAGATTGAAGGTGTGAAATCCTGTATAGAATTAATTACTAAATACATATACCTCTGTACTTGGGGTGCCAGAAATATTGAAGGTGTGAAATCCTGTATAGAATTAATTACTAAATTCATATACCTCTGTACTTGGGGTGCCAGAAATATTGAAGGTGTGAAATCCTGTATAGAATTAATTACTAAATACATATACCTCTGTACTTGGGGTGCCAGAAAGATTGAAGGTGTGAAATCCTGTATAGAATTAATTACTAAATACATATACCTCTGTACTTGGGGTGCCAGAAATATTGAAGGTGTGAAATCCTGTATAGAATTAATTACTAAATTCATATACCTCTGTACTTGGGGTGCCAGAAATATTGAAGGTGTGAAATCCTGTATAGAATTAATTACTAAATACATATACCTCTGTACTTGGGGTGCCAGAAATATTGAAGGTGTGAAATCCTGTATAGAATTAATTACTAAATACATATACCTCTGTACTTGGGGTGCCAGAAATATTGAAGGTGTGAAATCCTGTATAGAATTAATTACTAAATACATATACCTCTGTACTTGGGGTGCCAGAAATATTGAAGGTGTGAAATCCTGTATAGAATTAATTACTAAATACATATACCTCTGTACTTGGGGTGCCAGAAATATTGAAGGTGTGAAATCCTGTATAGAATTAATTACTAAATACATATACCTCTGTACTTGGGGTGCCAGAAATATTGAAGGTGTGAAATCCTGTATAGAATTAATTACTAAATACATATACCTCTGTACTTGGGGTGCCAGAAATATTGAAGGTGTGAAATCCTGTATAGAATTAATTACTAAATACATATACCTCTGTACTTGGGGTGCCAGAAATATTGAAGGTGTGAGATGATTTTTGTTTCCAATCCTCATCTTCATAATCTTGTACCATGAAAGATGACGAAGTGTCACTCACAGTGCTAGCACCTATAAAATCAACAAAATAAACAATCTAGTTGAAAGACAGGTGTAACGTTACTCTGATTAGAGAAAATATTTCTGTTTTCAATAAAACACATTAATATTTCAATAACTAACACTATCCAAAATCATGGTCAATTCTACAAAAAAGATCTGATATAGCAAACTATCAACAGCATGTGTTTTGAAGGCCTTGACTGATTAAATAGATGTTTTTAACAGGTCTGATGTTCTGATGATAAAAATTTTCCATTAAATTTGGGTGAGTTTAACAGAAATCAACAATCAAAATTTCATGAGTTTACCAGAAATTGTGAATGAATATTTTACAAGTTTACCAGAAATTATAAATTCAAATTTTACAAGTTTACCAGAAAATATAAATTAATATTTTACAAGTTTACCAGAAAAAATGAATTAATATTTTACAAGTTTACCAGAAATTATGAATAAATATTTTACAAGTTTACCAGAAATTATGAATTAAAGTCCCACAAGTTTACTAAAATTATCAAAACATTTCATATTTCAACATCAGTGAAAATCATCCTCTACAAAACAAAATTCAATTATGGCAATTCTGCTGAAATAAAAATCAGCCAAACTTTCACGCAATAAGCAAACAAAAAAAAGAAGGATCTCTCAACCTTGAGCACATCATGCAAAAATCCATTTCTATGCAAACTTCTGTTGTACATAACAATGTTGTTTTGTTATGATCCAAGAACAATTTTCATCATTACATACAACATACGTAACCTTATCAAAAATAAATAGCAGGGCACCCCCTATTATAGGAGTAGGACAGGCTTAATGTTAATAGGATTAGATACAACATATACATACTTGGCTAGTCTACTTTACAGACAAAGGGTAGAACAAGATGTACTTGCTTTAATCATATATTGAGAATATACTTATAATAGATACTCTCTACATGCAAGATATACAGAGTGGGGATATTACTGACTAAAGATTAGGCACAATGATCAAAGTTTTCAAACCTATTCTAAATCACATAATGCTTTAAAGAATTATAAACACTAGTGTTTACATATGTAGTTCTATTTGCATACTATGATAATACTGTTCCTGAAATAGAAAAAATCACTATAATTACATTATTCTTTGATTTATGGTTGCTGGTGTTGAAATAAATGTACAGGAACAGAAAGTCTTTTATTCTATGCATTTTGTATTACCAAGAAACTGGTGATCAACAGAATAAACCAAGGGGAATAACTTATGTGTTACTAATGTAAACAATGTTACTTATGCTCAACGGAATAAACCATGGGGAATAACTTATGTGTTACTTATGTACACAATGTTACTGACGTTCAACAGAATAAACCAAGGGGCATAACTTACGTGGTTCTAATGTTCAACAGAGTAAACCAAGGGGAATAACTTATGTGTTACTAATGTAGACAATGTTACTGATGCTCAGCGGAATAAACCAAGGGGAATAACTTGTGTGTTACTAATGAACTGGTAATCAAGGGTATAAGACCAGGGGAATAACTTGTGTGTTACTAAAGTACACAATGTTACTAGTGTTCAACAAAATAAACCAAGGGGAATAACTTCTGTGGTTCTAATGTACACAATGTTACTAATGCTCAACAGAATAAACCAATGGGAATAACTTGTGTGTTACTAAAGTACACAATGTTACTAATGCTCAACGGAATAAACAATGGGGAATAACTTGTGTGTTACTAATGAACTGGTAATCAAGGGTATAAGACAAGGGGGATAACTTGTGCACAAGCAATATAGGAGTTATCATTAGACTGAAATATGTCATGATAGGTATAATCTTGAAATCCATAAATTATTCTAGTCAAGTATGAAATATTTTCAATTTTGAAGTTTGAAACTAATGCTTAATACTAGTGCTTAAAGGGACAATTCTGGTCAGATGTCCAACTCCTGGATGGTCTGTACCTTTAAACAAGTGTTTATGACTTTTTCAAATATTGTTAGGATATAAATATCTTTCCTTTGGTCAGGTTGGACAAACAAAATTTTCTCTACTAAATTCAAAATAATACTGGGTAAATAGAGCACACAGATCACAAAGATGATTTTGATAACAAGAAACTGAAGCCTGATCCAAGTCGTAATGATCTTAAAAGGAAACTGGAAAACATTTCAATGATCCACAACAACAATATTACACACACATATATATAACAAAAAGATACTGAAATGTATAAAAAAAAAATGCTCTTTGCTACATAAGATGGGATGAATTCAATAAGTCTCTGCAATGGTTCCTAAAAGTATGTCGTGGTGGTGTGGGGATAAGCTTGAGAGTAATATATCTCTGGTGGAGATCTTCATAATATGGTGTGCACAGGTAGTGATGTTTAAAACTTGTGGAGGGGCTGAAAATTTGGTTCCACCTCTAGGCCATTTTAAAATATACATAATTTTTCACACAATTCAGCTAATAAAAAAGCAAACCCGTTGTGGGTCAATCATGGTTGAGCTAATGTTTGTAAATCAATCTAGCTAGGTCTACAAAGTGTAAATATTGTATGTTTGTTTATATGGTGAACGAGGTGTACAACTTTAACAATTTCATAATTTGTGTTTTTTTTTTTATTAAAATAAAGAAATGAAATCTTATCTTGCACTGAAAATCTCTTGAAATTTAAAAAAAAAACATTACAAAAACTTTGCATGATGATTTAACATGAACCTGTTCCTACAGTACATCACTTTATCAAATGTCCACATTTCACTTTCTCCCTCTTATAATATCTTCCTATTTGCAAAAGATATAAATTGAAATCTTCTGTTTCCTACAATAACTGCTTCATAAAAAACTTTAGGTGGCTAACCTAAAAACAAAAAAAAAACAAAAAAACAAAAAAACAAAAATGAATCAGAAAAGTAAAAATATTGAGAAAGAGACACTTTAAGAAAGAGACACTTTAAGAAAGAGACACTTTAAGAAAGAAGTTCTGAACGCAGTGAATGGTGTAATTCATGACTAGATATGCAGCTGTGTTTATTCTTTGAATACAGGCAGGATACAACTGTGGGGAACCTACAAGCTAAATATTAGAGAAGTTTGAATACCTTTTCTATCAGTCTTCTTCCTGTTCACTAAATACCAGTGAAACAGAACAAATATACAGATCACAGATTTCAGAACTGATATCAGCAGTATGGATGGAATAGAATTTGAAATAAAGTTGAGACTTCTAGAATAATTTTACCTTTTATAGTAAAAGACGTATCAGTAACCAAGAGATGTTGATTTAAATATGCCATAAAAACAAAATAAAGCTCAAACCCCAAACTAAAGTTTCAGTAAATTTCACTATAATATTCCTGATATTACTGCTCTAATTTTTCCTTGTTTTGCTTTCAAATCCAACCTCATTATTTTGAAGTGTCGTTCAAATTTCTTCAACAGACTCTATAAACATTTTCATTAAGACCTGGCTCCATTTATTGTAACTTAACTTACCATCCATAGATATTGAATCAGTTGAATACGCCGAATCCAGGGGGCGCTTTGATACGAGGATGATTCCATCACCATCTCGACTTCCGACGGAGACGTCATCTCCTAACGACTGTTTGGACAGAAGAGTGACGCCTCCGGAATTTTTACTGGAGGACTTTGTTCCGTCCAAGGATGTTTTAGATAACAATACCACTCCTCCACCGGAAATATCTCTACTCCCTGATTTTCCAAATGATAAAAATTTTGGAAGTCCTATTCCTGGATCCAAATCAAGACATGATTGAAATTTGTTTCTTTTCCATGTTTCTTGTTCATCACATCACCAAATTCAGTCAAAAAAGAAACTTACATCTCCCCACTTTAAATATCTAGATGTATCCTCTACCAAATTTCTGATTGCTAACAACAACTTGTATAATGGGATTCTCAAGATTATCAATTACTAGACTTCCATTCTAATCATCTGCATCATTTTCCAAAATAATTTCACTTCAAAATATTCGGTAGAAAATCTACACACAGTAACAGGCAGTACACTAAAACCATCCCCAATAGAGAGGCACACTGCTGAGGCATGCTTCTCCACAAGACTATTAGAGACAAGCTGTTTTAGATGTTAAACACTGACTTTATCAAGAGCTTTTGAGGAAAAAAAGATCTTAATTACATAATCAGCTTACATAATTATTTTTTAATTCAATTGCTACTGCTTTTGAAGAAGCTCCAATTGTTTATAAATCAGTTGAATGAAATTTCCATCAGGAAATCCATAGCTTAATGATATAAAGATGGAAGTTATACTCAAAAGCTCTTAAATACTAATAATTATTCATGCAAATCAAATGAACATCATCCATTAGTAAGACTCATTTTCAGTTTTAATTTTAAATGTTATTTTCTATTTACTCATGCAACTATGGACATGGTTCAATATTTAACAATTATCAAGTTAAAGATGAAGAAACAAGTTGATAAAATATAAGGATTAAGATATTCATTCATTTCAAGATGTTTTCATTGGTAGAATACAACATGTAACCTTACTCATATGTTTATAAAATTTGAAACAGTTGTAATCATTGGCTGAATTAAATCAAAATTTAGTAACACAGTATTTGGTTGGCTGACCTTTGCTAGATGACTTGGTCCCTGAACTTGAACTGGTTCCTCCAGCAGAGCTTGCTGACCCAGAGGTTTCTATAGAAATGGTTTCAGGTATTTCTGATTCCAAGTTTTTGAAATGTGGATTGGATGGATCGTATGACGTTTGTGAAACGGTTGAGGAACTTTCCTCTGATTGGCTGAAAATAGAAAGATTTATTTTCCTGACAAACCTGATTACCAGATACACATCTAATACAGGTAGAATATCAACGATTGTTGGGAGTCGACAATACTTCAACTCTATTACCTCCCCTTTCTTCCGCTATCTACTCTCACTAACTGCTTTTCCCATTCATATTATTCCTTGTGTGCTGAAAGACTTAAGGCTATTCTTCAGTTTTCAGATTCCTCTAGATCAAACTTACAATAAGATTAGCTCCCTTTATTTTACTGACAACAATCAAATATCTATCCATTGACTAAATCCTTGTTATCACAACAAACATTTTTATAAACAATGCTACTCAAATGATCCCCCTTACTTTATTAGAATTATTCAAATTACAAATCTGATTATCTCCCTTTACTCACTTAGACTGGGAATGTTGTGAGTGGGTATCGGGGTCATTGACAACTTCTGATGTAAGGCTGGGGGGCGGGGGCGGAGGTACTGACGGGGGAAGGAGAACTTCCTGTGGTTTTTTCTTCTTTGCAGCACTTTTTTTCACAGTTCCATCACTGCAAAAAACAAGAAATTCCTCACATGTAATGAAGTAAAGTTAAACCCATCATTTAACAATGTTTTCATACAAAAAATTCAATGTCTGATGTAAAGTGAAAACTTAAAATAATTTTTCAGAAAATTTTATTTCAGATGTTGTAAGTGTGAATTTCATAAATAAAACCATATAGAAATAAACGTTATGTGACTTTTCATACGAATTAAAAGGTTTTTTCTTACTTGTTGTAAGAACTTAAACTTTAAACATTATTTGTACTGTCACATTGTTCTGAGAACGATGCTTATTTTACTGTATCATTTCAGAACTACAATTTTCTCTACCTGTCATGTTTCATCCAAGCTTCTAGTCGACTCTCATTTTCTGGTTTCACTTCACCATCTGCTGCTTCATTTAAACTTTCTTGTGACTGAAGAAAATAATTCAGAATACATTCTCCCAATTATTCATACATCATTACATTGGTAAACATTGGGGCTCCCCATGGGATCATTAAATAAGGTAAACATTGGGGATCCCAGTGGGATTATTCCATAAGGTTAACATTGGGGATTTCCATAGGATCATTACATAAGGATCATTATATTAGGTAAACATTAGGGCTCCCCATGGAATTATTCCATAAGGTAAACATTGGGGATCCCCATAGGATCTTTATATATAGTTAACATTGGGGATCCCCATATGATCTTTATATATAGTTAACATTGGGGATCCCCATAGGATCTTTATATATAGTTAACATTGGGGATCCCCATAGGATCTTTATATATAGTTAACATTGGGGATCCCCATAGGATCTTTATATATAGTTAACATTGGGGATCCCCATAGGATCTTTTTATATAGTTAACATTGGGGATCCCCATAGGATCTTTATATATAGTTAACATTGGGGATCCCCATAGGATCTTTATATATAGTTAACATTGGGGATCCCCATAGGATCTTTATATATAGTTAACATTGGGGATCCCCATAGGATCTTTATATATAGTTAACATTGGGGTTCCCCATAGGATCTTTATATATAGTTAACATTGGGGTTCTATATTGGATCATTACATAATTAGGGTAGTTGGAGAGGGCATTTGGTTGGGCAGATGACCAGATTGCTTTTCACATCCTATGTGAAAAGTGAAAGGCAAGTGCCCTACCACCGTCCAACCTAACCATAATTACCATCACATTATCTAAACAACAATTACCACCTCCTGACTGCCTACCTGACCACCATTACCACCATCAGACTGCCTACCTGACCACCATTACCACCCCCCGACCTGACCACCATTACCACCTCCCGACTGCCAACCTGACCACCATTACCACCTCCCGACTGCCAACCTGACCACCATTACCACCTCCCGACTGCCAACCTGACCACCATTACCACCTCCCGACTGCCAACCTGACCACCATTACCACCTCCCGACTGCCAACCTGACCACCATTACCACCTCCCAACTACCTACCTGACCACCATTACCACCTTCCGACTGCCAACCTGACCACCATTACCACCTCCCGACTGCTAACCTGACCACCATTACCACCTCCCGACTGCCAACCTGACCACCATTACCACCTCCCGACTACCTACCTGACCACCATTACCACCTCCGGACTGGTAACCTGACCACCATTACCACCTTCCAACTGCCAACCTGACCACCATTATCACCTCCCGACTACCTACCTGACCACCATTACCACCTCCCGACTGCTAACCTGACCACCATTACCACCTTCCAACTGCCAACCTGACCACCATTACCACCTCCCGACTGCCAACCTGACCACCATTACCACCTCCCGACTGCTAACCTGACCACCATTACCACCGCCCGACTGCTAACCTGACCACCATTACCACCTCCCGACTGCTAACCTGACCACCATTACCACAGCCTTACCCTCAATGCTTCCTCTCACATCAGATTTTAGTCCCTATTACTTACTTTGTTACGTTTTGTAGGTAATCGTCGACTAGCATTTCCTCCTGTGGTGCCAACCTGTCCCTTGTTTTTGTTGGCCGTTGTGTCTAACAATGATGTCTCAGGAATCACACCAGTAAGTGTGAGGTCAAGTTCAGCATGTCCATTGAGGTCAAGGTCACGGTCTAGCTCCCCTTCAAGGACTTCAGGATCTTCCGAAAATACAATGTTATATGTTAAATATCTTTCTGACTTAGTATTGATGTTAACGTGGATATTTAATAATATCCACTTTATTTAAAATCAGATTGTTTATTATCATATTTTTCATATGTTTTTCTTCAATGCTATAGTTAATGCTACAAAGGATATATGATAAGAGCAAGACTCAATTCTAAACTTGACTTATTACCAATACCGAAACAGTGTTAAAGCAATTACCATTACATATTTTTTTTATATTCTTGGTCAGGATTTCAAGGCATCAGCATAAATGTTTTGTTTCATATATTTACAACAAAAGGAAAAGAAAGATGATAACATCTACAAGTCCTACTAATTGGTTAAAATTTTTATTGGTTTTGCCTTATTTTTCTTCTTTTAATACAATCTCTTCACACATTGTACTGACTAAAGCTTACATGATTTAGTTTGTTACCATACTAACAGTTAATCATCCTAACACCCTATAAAACTTTCTACCATTAATTTCTGGTTTAGTAATTACCGGGACTGCCAACGGTCTCCACTGGGGATCCATCTGACCCTGAGGAGATGGAGGAAACACTGTCCGACATCTGGTGTTTCAGGACCTTGGATGTTTGTTCTGAGAAAAGCAAATATGTTAACAAAAGATCAGAATTAAATATACTGTGAAGGCTGTAATAGTCAAAAGTTTCATTTCTAACCCAAGGAAAAACAGTATAATCAATATTTAGAAAATAAAACATACTTTTCATTACAAATATCGTATTTTCCTGGTTATAAGCTGCAGAAAGAGTAAAAAATAGTGCTTTAAACCAAGGATACCAGTACACCAGTACGAGATGTCAATACAAAATCTGTCAAGAGTACCTGTCCATCACATATTTGTGACAGAAACAGATCTTCTAAAACTGTCATTTGCAGTGGTATACAGGATGATTTTAGATTGAAATAAAAATAACATTCTCGTTGATTTAATTAAGCAAACCTTTTAATATAAACCACAATAATATCTTCCTAACTTTTGAGGTTGCTTCGGAAGCCATAGCAGAAGTTTACAATAGCCTGTTGAATCCTGGGATCAATAGGTCATCGGGTTATAGGTCAAATTCTAAAATGACCGCCATGCTTGTTTACGATAGGAATGGTTTTGTGTAATTTACAAGAAATAATAGGGGACTATAAGTATTTTGTCAGCATGTAAGGGCCTTCTTTATATCTAACAGTACAGATACCAATGGAAATATTGTTAAGTAAACGGTTTGTCAGACCCTATATCTACATCTATATCAGAGACTGACCTAATGGTGCTGAATGAGTCGGTGAAGTCTTCGTTTTGAGTATAACATCAAGTTCCGCAGCCTTCTGTGGGGCAGTTGAATCCTTGGGAATGACAACAGGTAGACCAGCAGCTGCCTGGGCCTCAGCAAGTTCACCTTCTAACCGGAACACCTGTGATAGGCCACAAAGTTATGAAATCATTTCAACAACAGAAAGAATGTCTCTTAGTAACATATAAACAAAATGTTTCAAAACAGAATTATTACCTTGACAAAAATTAAATTTAGAAACATTTGAGTGTTAATGAATGTACCTTGACAATAGTTCCTTCCTTATTTCAAAGGACCTGGAGTAAATTATAAATGTGTTTAGATATCTATATCTATACTGTAGAATGTAAACATTGTAAGGACCTAGATAGGATTGTTTATATATCTATACTGTAGAATGTAAACATTGTAAGGACCTAGATAGGATTGTTTATATATCTATACTGTAGGATGTAAACATTGTAAGGACCTAGATAGGATTGTTTATATATCTATACTGTAGGATGTAAACATTGTAAGGACCTAGATAGGATTGTTTATATATCTATACTGTAGAATGTAAACATTGTAAGGACCTAGATAGGATTGTTTATATATCTATAAAAATACTGTAGGATGTAAACATTGTAAGGACCTAGATAGGATTGTTTATATATCTATACTGTAGGATGTAAACATTGTAAGGACCTAGATAGGATTGTTTATATATCTCTACTGTAGGATGTAAACATTGTAAGGACCTAGATAGGATTGTTTATATATCTATACTGTAGAATGTAAACATTGTAAGGACCTAGATAGGATTGTTTATATATCCATACTTTAGGATGTAAACATTGTAAGGACCTAGATAGGATTGTTTATATATCCATACTTTAGGATGTAAACATTGTAAGGACCTAGATAGGATTGTTTATATATCTATACTGTAGAATGTAAACATTGTAAGGACCTAGATAGGATTGTTTATATATCTATACTGTAGAATGTAAACATTGTAAGGACCTAGAAAGGATTGTTTATATATCCATACTTTAGGATGTAAACATTGTAAGGACCTAGATAGGATTGTTTATATATGTATACTGTAGAATGTAAACATTGTAAGGACCTAGATAGGATTGTTTATATATCCATACTTTAGGATGTAAACATTGTAAGGACCTAGATAGGATTGTTTATATATCTATACTGTAGAATGTAAACATTGTAAGGACCTAGATAGGATTGTTTATATATCTATACTGTAGGATGTAAACATTGTAAGGACCTAGATAGGATTGTTTATATATCTATACTGTAGGATGTAAACATTGTAAGGACCTAGATAGGATTGTTTATATTTAAGGACCTAGATAGGATTGTTTATATATCTATACTGTAGAATGTAAACATTGTAAGGACCTAGATAGGATTGTTTATATATCTATACTGTAGAATGTAAACATTGTAAGGACCTAGATAGGATTGTTTATATATCTATACTGTAGGATGTAAACATTGTAAGGACCTAGATAGGATTGTTTATATATGTATACTGTAGGATGTAAACATTGTAAGGACCTAGATAGGATTGTTTATATTTAAGGACCTAGATAGGATTGTTTATATATCTCTACTGTAGAATGTAAACATTGTAAGGACCTAGATAGGATTGTTTATATATCCATACTTTAGGATGTAAACATTGTAAGGACCTTGATTATACATACTCTGTCTTTAAGAGACTTGACCAATGCATTGTACTGCTGATCTTTTTCTGCTTGTTGTTGTAACAGAGATTCCCTCTCCTGAATAAAATCTTTTTCCCTGAAATAAAGAAACATGTCGACACATTTAAACTTGTGCAAGAAGCTTAGAACTATCACAGATATTCAGATCATTCTGCTTTTTCACCTTAATCTGTACTCAGCTTTTCTTTTTTATTTCCATTAAACAAATTAAGGAGATCTGTAAGCATACTTGAGCATTTTGTAATTTTATGCCCTACATGTTTTTGATTCCACGCCAATGCTGTTGATATTATCTTTGTTTCTTACATCATGATTTTCTTCCTAGATGTTTATAGAAAAACTAACAATGCAGCTTTCAAGACAATCAGATTTAAGGTTGTCATAACAATCTCAATTGTTTTTTTGTAAAATCTGTCGAACAAAACTTGAAGATTGTTACTTGTCTGGTGGTTTTGTTATATCAGTCTAGAAAAACTTGAAGATTGTTTGTTGTCTGGTGGTTTTGTTATATCAGTCTAGAAAAACTTGAAGATTGTTTGTTGTCTGGTGGTTTTGTTATATCAGTCTAGAAAAACTTGAAGATTGTTTGTTGTCTGGTGGTTTTGTTATATCAGTCTAGAAAAACTTGAAGATTGTTTGTTGTCTGGTGGTTTTGTTATATCAGTCTAGAAAAACTTGAAGATTGTTTGTTGTCTGGTGGTTTTGTTATATCAGTCTAGAAAAACTTGAAGATTGTTTGTTGTCTGGTGGTTTTGTTATATCAGTCTAGAAAAACTTGAAGATTGTTTGTTGTCTGGTGGTTTTGTTATATCAGTCTAGAAAAACTTGAAGATTGTTTGTTGTCTGGTGGTTTTGTTATATCAGTCTAGAAAAACTTGAAGATTGTTTGTTGTCTGGTGGTTTTGTTATATCAGTCTAGAAAAACTTGAAGATTGTTTGTTGTCTGGTGGTTTTGTTATATCAGTCTAGAAAAACTTGAAGATTGTTTGTTGTCTGGTGGTTTTGTTATATCAGTCTAGAAAAACTTGAAGATTGTTTGTTGTCTGGTGGTTTTGTTATATCAGTCTAGAAAAACTTGAAGATTGTTACTTGTCTGGTGGTTTTGTTATATCAGTCTAGAGAAACTTGAAGATTGTTACTTGTCTGGTGGTTTTGTTCTATCAGTCTAGAAAAACTTGAAGATTGTTTGTTGTCTGGTGGTTTTGTTATATCAGTCTAGAGAAGCTTGAAGATTGTTTGTTGTCTGGTGGTTTTGTTATATCAGTCTAGAAAAACTTGAAGATTGTTTGTTGTCTGGTGGTTTTGTTATATCAGTCTAGAAAAACTTGAAGATTGTTACTTGTCTGGTGGTTTTGTTATATCAGTCTAGAAAAACTTGAAGATTGTTTGTTGTCTGGTGGTTTTGTTATATCAGTCTAGAAAAACTTGAAGATTGTTACTTGTCTGGTGGTTTTGTTATATCAGTCTAGAGAAACTTGAAGATTGTTACTTGTCTGGTGGTTTTGTTCTATCAGTCTAGAAAAACTTGAAGATTGTTACTTGTCTGGTGGTTTTGTTATATCAGTCTAGAGAAACTTGAAGATTGTTACTTGTCTGGTGGTTTTGTTATATCAGTCTAGAAAAACTTGAAGATTGTTTGTTGTCTGGTGGTTTTGTTATATCAGTCTAGAAAAACTTGAAGATTGTTACTTGTCTGGTGGTTTTGTTATATCAGTCTAGAAAAACTTGAAGATTGTTTGTTGTCTGGTGGTTTTGTTATATCAGTCTAGAAAAACTTGAAGATTGTTACTTGTCTGGTGGTTTTGTTATATCAGTCTAGAGAAACTTGAAGATTGTTACTTGTCTGGTGGTTTTGTTATATCAGTCTAGAAAAACTTGAAGATTGTTACTTGTCTGGTGGTTTTGTTATATCAGTCTAGAGAAACTTGAAGATTGTTACTTGTCTGGTGGTTTTGTTCTATCAGTCTAGAGAAACTTGAAGATTGTTTGTTGTCTGGTGGTTTTGTTCTATCAGTCTAGAAAAACTTGAAGATTGTTACTTGTCTGGTGGTTTTGTTATATCAGTCTAGAGAAACTTGAAGATTGTTACTTGTCTGGTGGTTTTGTTCTATCAGTCTAGAAAAACTTGAAGATTGTTACTTGTCTGGTGGTTTTGTTATATCAGTCTAGAGAAACTTGAAGATTGTTACTTGTCTGGTGGTTTTGTTCTATCAGTCTAGAAAAACTTGAAGATTGTTACTTGTCTGGTGGTTTTGTTATATCAGTCTAGAAAAACTTGAAGATTGTTACTTGTCTGGTGGTTTTGTTCTATCAGTCTAGAAAAACTTGAAGATTGTTTGTTGTCTGGTGGTTTTGTTATATCAGTCTAGAAAAACTTGAAGATTGTTTGTTGTCTGGTGGTTTTGTTATATCAGTCTAGAAAAACTTGAAGATTGTTTGTTGTCTGGTGGTTTTGTTATATCAGTCTAGAAAAACTTGAAGATTGTTTGTTGTCTGGTGGTTTTGTTATATCAGTCTAGAAAAACTTGAAGATTGTTTGTTGTCTGGTGGTTTTGTTATATCAGTCTAGAAAAACTTGAAGATTGTTACTTGTCTGGTGGTTTTGTTATATCAGTCTAGAAAAACTTGAAGATTGTTACTTGTCTGGTGGTTTTGTTATATCAGTCTAGAAAAACTTGAAGATTGTTTGTTGTCTGGTGGTTTTGTTATATCAGTCTAGAAAAACTTGAAGATTGTTTGTTGTCTGGTGGTTTTGTTCTATCAGTCTAGAAAAACTTGAAGATTGTTACTTGTCTGGTGGTTTTGTTATATCAGTCTAGAGAAACTTGAAGATTGTTACTTGTCTGGTGGTTTTGTTCTATCAGTCTAGAAAAACTTGAAGATTGTTTGTTGTCTGGTGGTTTTGTTATATCAGTCTAGAAAAACTTGAAGATTGTTTGTTGTCTGGTGGTTTTGTTATATCAGTCTAGAAAAACTTGAAGATTGTTTGTTGTCTGGTGGTTTTGTTATATCAGTCTAGAAAAACTTGAAGATTGTTTGTTGTCTGGTGGTTTTGTTATATCAGTCTAGAAAAACTTGAAGATTGTTTGTTGTCTGGTGGTTTTGTTATATCAGTCTAGAAAAACTTGAAGATTGTTTGTTGTCTGGTGGTTTTGTTATATCAGTCTAGAAAAACTTGAAGATTGTTTGTTGTCTGGTGGTTTTGTTATATCAGTCTAGAAAAACTTGAAGATTGTTTGTTGTCTGGTGGTTTTGTTATATCAGTCTAGAAAAACTTGAAGATTGTTTGTTGTCTGGTGGTTTTGTTATATCAGTCTAGAAAAACTTGAAGATTGTTTGTTGTCTGGTGGTTTTGTAAAATCAGTCAAGAAAAACTTGAAGATGGTTTGTTGTCTGGTGGTTTTGTAAAATCAGTCGAGAAAAACTTGAAGATTGTTAGTTGTCTGGTGGTTTTGTAATTATTCACTTCTCACTTTAATTTGACGTTAATTGACCTTGATTTAAGTAGAAATGTCTAGTCTAACTATTGTACTTCACAGAATCTTTCATATTTCAAACTACTTTTTAAAGTTTTAGTAGCAATTTTGTTAATATCTTGTTAAGCCTTTAAGAACTAAGGTGTGGCATTTCACACTGACCTTGATTGGTACTCCTTTATCAGTTTCTTAGCCTTGTGGTACTTTTTCTCCAGAGCTGTGAAGTCTCCCTTCATCCTCTTCTCTAGGGCTATGTACTGTCCTTGGGAGCCCTCCAAAAGGTCCTAAAACAGACAGGGGTCAATTGTCATTTTATTTTACAGTAAATGTAAAGGGTGAAATGATGTCTTAACAAGGGTCAAGGGTCACATGATGTCACAACAGGGGTAAAGGACCAATGTCAATATGATGTATGCAAATTATGGGCTAATAAGCTAATATGAGGTAAGATTTCAATCTTTTATTTAAATTTGGGTCAGCAGGGTCAACAGGGTCAACAAGGTCAACAAAATGTCAGAGTTCAATCCCTTTGACTGCATCTAAAATTGGGTTGAATGTTAGTTTATCAATACACAGAAAGGTCTTATTTGTCTCTTTATGGATATTGTAGTTGACAGGCCCAGATTACAAAGTAAACTGATTTGTGTTTTTTATGGCTCCCTACCTGGTACTGGTTCATCTCCTTCCGAGATTTCTCCAGATTTTTCTCCTGGTCACGGAGTTGCTTGGCCATAGACTCACATTTCTTCTCATAATCCTTCTTCTGGTTCTCAATGCTTTCAAGATGAATCAGCTGGAAAATAAGTCAATTAATAATAAGCTTAATTGTAATTGGTAATTCTTCTATTTATTTATGCACCATAGAATTTTCATTTATTCATAAACCTACTAAATATACATATTTTTTTCAAATAAAAAAAAACTTAAAATGTGCCTGGATTTCTTAAGGCAGCATGAACTGGATAAAATCTTATAGCTAAGATAGAGTTATCTTTCCTTTAAGATTTCTCTTTAATGAATTATTTCCCTTTGATAATATTGTTTAGTTTGGTTAGAGACTAGCTTGTCTTGCCCTGAAACCTAAAGAGTTGTCATTTCCTTAGAGTTTTTCTTACTTAGTACTATCAGACTAATATTGTAAGAAATAAAGCAGAGCCTAACTTACTTTTCCTTTGAGTTTAGCAAGCTCAGCCTCGGACACTGCTTTCTTGTACTGAGCCTGAAAACAGAACCAATTAAGATTAACTTCAAATTCTTTCTCATACTTAGAAAATTACTATTACATTCACAATTGATAATACAATACAGAGGTAGGAAGCCTGCTCACAATTTAATAGATGCAACTCTAGACTGTTTTTAAATTAAAATTTAGATCTTATCAAATTCAATGTTTAATAAAACTTGAGGAATTTTTTTTCTTTTGATATACAAGCTATACATTTTATCAGTAAGCAACCTAAATGGCCTTCATCTCTCACTTGATTTTTGCAAACATATCTTACATCAAATTCACCTTCAAAGTTGATCTAAATTGAATTTACTTCAATCACATTCAAAATTAGTATGTTAACTCTTCAAGATAAGATTTATCATTCTGGGACTTTTTGAACAGTTATTTTATACATTAAACCTAAAAATATTTCAGAGTGATGTTAATTAATCAAAAGATGAGAGAACATTTCAGCATTTGAAATCTATGGCCTTGAATATAGGCCAAGGTCATTTCTGATATTTAATCATTTAAGGACTTTTAATTCAGGTAGTATATTTTGCAAACTTTCTAGTACTTATTGAGAGTACTAGTCAGCAAATTTGACCCCTGTGAACTTAAAACAGGGTAAAGGTCAATTCCATTCACATCTTTTGTCAGGCTCTCTTCCAGTGACCTGTAATGTTATTATTCAACAGCATCTGATTCTACAGAAGAAGTTGCTAAGAAAGAAGACAGAGAGTAGACAGAAATATGTGTATAGCATGTGGCCATTAGTGAGCTTATAAACTGTTTTATAAGTTACATTATGATTCACCTCTAGAGTGGTTCAGAGACAACAAGTATGATACAGACAGCCATAAATCCAATGGGAGAGCCACTTACCTCTTTGAGTTTAACAAACAAGGCCTGTGACTCCATGTCAGGCGAGATCGATTCACTGCTACTCTCCTGTAAATCAAAAACCTCTATGTTGGGGTTAGTGCCCTCTTCAGGGGAGCTAATACTGTTTTCTGTACTGTCAAGCCCTGACGGAAGTGACATTGGAGTAGCCTCCCCTGCTGCCGTCTCCTCTGTTTCCATTGCATAACCCCCTTCACTTTCATCGCTGTCATCTTCTACTTCCTCTTCCTCCTCTTCTTCTCCCTCCTCTTCTTCCATCCCCTCAGACTCATCAACATCCTTAAATATGATTTTTGTTATTCATAAATACACATACATCTTTTAAATTGCCCATGAATAACAGACAAGTACTCATAAAACTAAAAAAGACATATTCTTAAATCTCGGTGAGATCTCCTACCTTATCATCATCAAGTAGGATGTCCTTTTCACTCTCTGATAGACGTCGCTGGTGTTGATGTTCTGCTATTTCATCACGTGGCTTCACATCATCCTGGAGATGCTGAAGTCTTTCTTGTTCACGTTTCCTCATCTCTTCACGTCGACGGTCTTGCTCCAGTGATTGCTGAATGAGGCGTGCAACCTCACTTTTACTTGGGTCTTTCTCTCGACCAATCATGAATCTAGAAACAAAGACGAACAACCAATCAAAATACTCACTGCAACAAGAGGCCAAGAGGGACTGTATCGCTCACCTGGATCTATATGATCAACATTATTATATCTGTGCTTATGTTCCATGTTTTACACATTTGACCCCTGTGACATTGACTATGGGTCAAGGTCATTTCTTTTACTTTCTTGGACTTCATAAAAGGAACATACTGGCCATATATAATGATTCTAGGCTTTTCGATATTTCAGAAGAAATTGTTTAAACCTTTTAACACATTTGACCTCTGTGACCTTGAATATGGATCAAGGTTATTTTTTTCCGCAAACTTTGTTAAGCTCTATCAAAGGAACCTTCCAGCCATATATAATGATTCTAGGCCTCCCGGTTTTTGGAAAAAGTTGCTTAAAGTTTTTAACACATTTGACCTCTGTGACCTTGAATATGGGTCAAGGTTATTTTTTTAGCAAACTTTGTTAAGCTTCATCAAAGGAACCTTCCAGCCAAATATCAGGCCTTCCAGTATTTTGGCACATTTGACCTCTGTGACCTGAAATATTGGTCAAGGTCATTTCTTTTTGCAAACTTTGTCGGGCTTCATCAAAGGAACCTTCCAGCCAAATATGATAACTACGCCTTTCGGTATTTCAGGAGAAGTTGTTTAAATGAAAAGTTGAAGGACGGACGGACAGGGCGGACGGACAGATGGATGGACGGACAACAAACGACGCGCTATGGCATAACCTCACTTGGCCCTTTGGGCCAGGTGAGCTAACAAAACAGAACAAGCAACAAATTGGGTCTAACAATGAATAATTCATCATCATTAATGATTTCCTTTGTGAAACTTTATTTATATGTTCCGGCAAGAAGTGTACCATCCGAAAGGACTTTCAGTTTTGCTGGAAACACTCTTACAAACAAATGTGCAACATTATCAGATGACAATATGGATAAATTAATTTTTCTCAATAGAAACTTGCAATTATCAAAAATTAAAAGAAACTAACGGACTCAAATTGAGGTGACACAGGTTCAAATGTACATAAAAACTGTGCAATTAAAAGTAACATTTTTGTCACTTATATATGCTGAGCAAACACAACGAATACCAAAACACAAGTTTAAATAAAAAGATGCATTTCTATCCGAGAATGAAACATTTTCTTTCATGAAAAAAAAACAATACAGAAGTCAATGAGAAACATGTATTTTACAGATCAATTTTAAGTGAAATGAAGCATAATATTATTATGTATTCTGAAACGACAGCACAAGTCTGAATCAATCGGAGAATGCATGGTTGACAGATAGATCACTGTGTTTTTCATGCTTGTATGCTTAAAACTGAAATCATCATACAAGTGATTGCTGGATTTCCTCCAAAATTATTTACAAAATTCCATAAATTAGGTTCAACTAAATGCCATTACTGCAATGGTGGCTATGGACATCATATGACCTCCCATTATCTTTGATTAAATATCAAGACTTGTAAATAAGCAATTAAATTTTAATCTGTGTCCAGTCATTAATTAACCTCCTAACACAGGACCAATGACAGCAGACTCTTGTAATCCCGTTATCAGGAAGCACTCTTCTTTGAAATGTGTGAAATTTTGCAACAGGATGAAAATACCTGTACAATACAGGTAAGTGTTTTGTTTCAATCATGAGGTGTCACAGCTTATTTTATTTTTTATTTTATCCCCATGTTATGCAGAGATAACATACTTGATGTTCCACTTTAAGGGGAGATAACTAACCTAACATTCCACTGAAGGACAGATAACTTATAATTACTTGAAATTCAACTTCAGGGGAGATAACTCACTTGAAGTTCAACTCTAGTGGGAGATAATTTACTTGAATTTTTCACTTTAAAAGGAGATAAATTAACTTGCCATTTTGCAGGGAGATAACTTACTTTACAGTGCCACTTGTGTTACGCAGGACAGAAGCAGCATAAGCTTGAGTGACTCCAACTAAACTCTTACCATCCACCTCAATAATCTGGTCATTTACATGGATCCTGTGTAAATAAAGTGTAAACAAATCACATCAAACAAATGCACAATGGGTGACACAGTGTAAATATTCAAAGTTTATGTAAACTACAGGAAAACAACATAACAGACTTAAGTCCTGATTCCTTGTGGTAGTTGTTTCTATTCAATGATGCAAGGATCTTACTTCAAGTTTTTCCTCATTACATACCTACAAGGTAAAGTCAACTCCGATATAAACGTCTTAGCAAAACCAAAAACTCAAACCCTTACCACTAGCAAAAATGTATACAACAAAAGTTTATAAACAAAACACATGGAAGGGAAGAGAAAGTTTTATTTTCTTCAGATAAAAACAAAATCCAAATGTGTAAGTCCACCCTAGACTGGTCATGTAATGTGTTATTAAAGTTACCTGTGTCCATCTGTACACTGCGAGTTAAAACCTTGTAAAAAACTTTCACCAAGACAAGTTTAAAAATAATGCCTTTATAGAACTAAGGTTATAACTATTCGAAACGATCATATGTAAGCAGAAAACATGATATTACAGTATAACTATGACCATGCAGTTTGATTTTTTCGTTTAAAAATTTGGTCGAGCAGCTTTGCAGCGTGGAGGAGCTTTGCAGGCTTACAGCCTCTAACGTTTCAAGCATAATATGTAAAATCTTAGTGACACAAACAACTTTCATTTCCTCTAAATTTAACTGATCCTCTATCAGGTAAACATTATAAGTCAAATGTTTCCCTAAGAAAAATAATGTCTCCCTATTGGGCCTCAGCAAAATAATTAATGTCTCCCTAATGGGCCTCACCAAAACAATGTTCCCCTAAAGGGCCTCAGTAGAACAATGATCTGTTCACATTACACGAGCTATCACAATATACAGAGGTTAGAATATCAAGACTAAATGACTCAGTACTTCGTAATCTTGAGATCTGCGTGAATTTGACATTTTTGCTAAATTGTACAGGACACCATGTAATTTCTGGCGGAGTGCTGAACATTTCTTACCTGTTATCCTTCTGGGCAGCCCCACCTTCTGTCAGAGTCTTAATAAAGATACCAAGTTTTTCCAGCCCAGCGTCTGCCCCAACCCCCATTCCTATTATACTCAGGCCAAGTCCCTCGGGTCCTGAAACAACAAAAGTTGAGCATACAATAAAGAAATGTATTACACAAACTATTAGAAAATATCTAGCTGATATGAAAAGTGATATTCAGCAGTATTTTCGTATCGTTGAGACACAAAATATTTTTCTAGTGTTTTGTTGTACTGTGTGTTGCGTACCAATAATAAATCACACTTGACCTATATGATGGTCAAGTTTTCTCCTGATGTATTCCAGTTTATATTGAAAGGCAGAACAAAACTGCAGGCCAAAATTCTATAGAATGTAAATCAAATCTTAACTTAGTTTAAGTCAAATCACATTATTTTTTTTTAAATTTCTCGGTAACAGTGTTATATTAGAAAGACAAGGGAGCCATTCATCCACAATAGTGTTAGCCCTACTGTCTGATATTAGATTCTATCATATGATCCCCTACATTATCACAGACACTAGCTTTTCTGCCTGTCAAATCCTGTGATCAAATGATTAACTATCTCTATATTAGCGATGATTGAAGAAAATGATGAAGCAAAAAACGTGTTAAGTTATACATAATAACACTTTGCTATGAAACTCAAAATTTTAACTCATATTTTGAAAATCAGAAAAAAAGTTGTCTTGACCAATTCTTAACATATAAAATTGAAACACAAGATTTATTGATAACCTTTAACAAGGTCTACTGGGAAAACATCCATCTTTTCCACACGTTTCTCGAGTTCATACTCAGCTGACGCTGCTACTGGATCAACATCCTCGTTTCTCCGATCGTACTCTTCAGTCGAAAAAGTAGGAAACACCTTAAAACAGACAAAAAATTTATTTATCAGCCACTTGTAACTGAACACAGTAAAATGAGTAAATTCATCAACTTCATCAGATCAAAAACAAAGCACCCATTACCAATGCTGATATGAACATTTTTCCATTTAGACTTTAGCTCTCACTCCCCCAAACTTACAGGTATCCAAGCATGTAAGAATTTTTACTGTACAAGGAACAAATGTGTAGGAGGAATGTACTTACCATTATAGGGCCTTTACTGAAGCGTATCCTAGAGGGTTTGTGGTAATCAACAACATCATAGCCGTCATCGGACTCACTTGCATTGCCACTACTAAGTCCAGGAATCTCAATGAAATCGACGATCTCATCTGTAGAATATACCTCTGTGAAAGAAAAAAACAAAATAATTCAATGGAAATGTACAACTTTCACACGTTAATGCTATGAGAATGTTAAATTCTTAAAAGTTCATTTTATGAGAATGTTATTTTTTTTACTAATCTTATGACAAGGTAAAATTGAACAGAAGAAAAGGTAAAATTTTAACAAACATATTCTAGGAGAAGGTAAAATTTTAGCAAACATATTCTAGGAGAAGGTAAAATTCTAGCTAACATATTCTAGGAGAAGGTAAAATTCTAGCAAACATATTCTAGGAGAAGGTAAAATTCTAGCTAACATATTCTAGGAGAAGGTAAAATTCTAGCAAACATATTCTAGGAGAAGGTAAAATTCTAGCAAACATATTCTAGGAGAAGGTAAAATTCTAGCAAACATATTCTAGGAGAAGGTAAAATTCTAGCAAACTTATTCTAGGAGAAGGTAAAATTCTAGCAAACATATTCTAGGAGAAGGTAAAATTCTAGCAAACATATTCTAGGAGAAGGTAAAATTCTAGCAAACATATTCTAGGAAAAGGTAAAATTCTAGCAAACATATTCTAGGAGAAGGTAAAATTCTAGCAAACATATTCTAGGAGAAGGTAAAATTCTAGCAAACATATTCTAGGAGAAGGTAAAATTCTAGCAAACATATTCTAGGAGAAGGTAAAATTCTAGCAAACATATTCTAGGAGAAGGTAAAATTCTAGCAAACATATTCTAGGAGAAGGTAAAATTCTAGCAAACATATTCTAGGAGAAGGTAAAATTCTAGCAAACATATTCTAGGAGAAGGTAAAAGTCTAGCAAACATATTCTAGGAGAAGGTAAAATTCTAGCAAACATATTCTAGGAGAAGGTAAAATTCTAGCAAACATATTCTAGGAGAAGGTAAAATTCTAGCAAACATATTCTAGGAGAAGGTAAAATTCTAGCAAACATATTCTAGGAGAAGGTAAAATTCTAGCAAACATATTCTAGGAGAAGGTAAAATTCTAGCAAACATATTCTAGGAGAAGGTAAAATTCTAGCAAACATATTCTAGGAGAAGGTAAAATTCTAGCAAACATATTCTAGGAGAAGGTAAAATTCTAGCAAACATATTCTAGGAGAAGGTAAAATTCTAGCAAACATATTCTAGGAGAAGGTAAAATTCTAGCAAACATATTCTAGGAGAAGGTAAAATTCTATATAAGAGGAGGAAACATTTTAATCAATTTTAGGAAAAGCTATATCTAAAGATTTTAACAAAATTATTTCATTGCAAAGTACAATTTTAACAAAATAATATTTTGAGATGGTAAACTTTAACAAGTTAGTTTTATGAGAAGGTAAACCTTTATTCAGACCATTTTGCAGGAAGAGTACCTTCATGTTCGGTAATGAGTTCAACCATGTCTGAAAGCTTTTTCCAATTTTGGAAAATGATGAAAGTGTGAAGGAGCAAATAAGGCGGATGCTCAATTGATTCAAAGCTACAATGGCATCCATGGCAATGACTTGTGAACAAGGGCATTGTCCTTTAGGAGCAACATGGCTTTACTGAGTTTTCCACATTGAATTACTTTAATATTTTCTCTTAACTGCCTAAGTGATGCATGATATGTACCACTGATTGTTTGTCTATTCTGCAGGTAATTTATCAACAGAATACCATTAGCACTCCCGAGGACCAAGGCCATAACCTTTCCAGCCGATTGAAAAGTCTTTGCCTTCTTTGGTGGGTGTAAACCAGGGTGCTTCCATTGTTTAGACTGTTGTATGGGCTCTGGCCTGAAATGATGGACTCATGTTTCATCCATAGTCACAAATCACAAAACGGAAAGTTATTTGGATCTGCCTCTGAAAGGTTCAGAATTCTTGGTACCCAACGGGCTGAGCGCTTTCTCATTGCAAGATCTTCTGTAAGAATGCACTCTTTCCTATGAAATTGCAAGTGTACTTGCTGTGTATCTCCTGAAACTGGCCTGTCAGCCATAACAATACCATGGACTTTATTGACCATTTCTGGGGTTGCAACAGTGACAGGCCTTCCAGGACGGGCATCATCCCCAAGGCTCTGCCTGTCACGCTTAAATTCTGCCCCTCACTTTTTCACTATAGTATATGAAGGGGCATCATTCCCTAGTGTTGTTACCATATTAGTATGGATATCCTTGGATGTTAGACCTTCCTTATGCTAATATTGAATCACTGTTCTTTCAGTGATTTTGTCCATTTTGTAAAATTCATTTGCCTTGTTTGAAGTGCTACCTTTTCAACATAAACTGACCAAATAACACAGGTCTTTGGGTACACAGCCTTCAATAGTCAGGCAATAGTAGAGCTGAAAAAGGACATCCTTGCTTAACTTCTTCAGTACAAGGCTCAAAACTGATCAGTCAGCTCTCATAGCACATCAATAGAACTTCAATATCAAACAAAGTGATATTCTGGAAGTTGTATTGTATAAAGTGTGCTGTTCTGTTTAAGTCAACTGTTTCCTAAAACATCAATAAGTGTGCTGTTCATTTTTTGTCACCTGTTTCGTAAAACAGCAATAAGTGTGCTGTTCTGTTTAAGTCACCTGTTCTGTAAAACACCACAAGCATGCTGTTCTAATTTTGTCACCTGTTCCCTGACACAAAATATGATTATCTAGCTTACCTCCAATCAAAATGGAGTCTGGTTCTTCATGACCATCCCCAGCTTCTCGTGGTGGAATGATGTCGTCACTTTCGTATTTACTATCTGATGTCTGATCCTTTGTTTCCACATAAACACCTCCACGAGATCTGAAAGATTTCATCCACACTAAATTATCAGATATAACAGTACTTTTACTACCAGAACTAGGTACAAATTATCACATATAACAGTATTTTTACCACCAGAACTAGGTACAAATTATCACATATAACAGTACTTTTACCATCAGAACTAGGTACAAATTATCACATATAACAGTACTTTTACCATCAGAACTAGGTACAAATTATCACATATAACAGTACTTTTACCACCAGAACTAGGTACAAATTATCACATATAACAGTACTTTTACCACAGTTGCTACGGTACAAATTATCACATATAACAGTACTTTTACCACCAGAACTAGGTACAAATTATCACATATAACAGTACTTTTACCACCAGAACTAGGTACAAATTATCACATATAACAGTACTTTTACCACCAGAACTAGGTACAAATTATCACATATAACAGTACTTTTACCACCAGAACTAGGTACAAATTATCACATATAACAGTACTTTTACCACCAGAACTAGGTACAAATTATCACATATAACAGTACTTTTACAACAGTTGCTACGGTACAAATTATCACATATAACAGTACTTTTACCACAGTTGCTACGGTACAAATTATCACATATAACAGTACAAATTATCACATATAACAGTACTTTTACCACCAGAACTAGGTACAAATTATCACATATAACAGTACTTTTACCACCAGAATTAGGTACAAATTATCACATATAACAGTACTTTTACTACCAGAATTAGGTACAAATTATCACATATAACAGTACTTTTACTACCAGAATTAGGTACAAATTATCACATATAACAGTACTTTTACTACCAGAATTAGGTACAAATTATCACATATAACAGTATTTTTACTACCAGAACTAGGTACAAATTATCACATATAACAGTACTTTTACCACAGTTGCTACGGTACAAATTATCACATATAACAGTACTTTTACCACCAGAACTAGGTACAAATTATCACATATAACAGTACTTTTACTTTTATCACATATAACAGTACTTTTGCAGTACTACGGTACAAATTATCACATATAACAGTACTTTTACCACCAGAACTAGGTACAAATTATCACATATAACAGTACTTTTACCACCAGAACTAGGTACAAATTATCACATATAACAGTACTTTTACCACCAGAACTAGGTACAAATTATCACATATAACAGTACTTTTACCACCAGAACTAGGTACAAATTATCACATATAACAGTATTACCACATACAAATTATCACATATAACAGTACTTTTACCACAGTTGCTACGGTACAAATTATCACATATAACAGTACTTTTACCACCAGAACTAGGTACAAATTATCACATATAACAGTACTTTTACCACAGTTGCTACGGTACAAATTATCACATATAACAGTACTTTTACCACAGTTGCTACGGTACATATTATCAGTAGTGACAGTACTTTTACTATGGGAATTATGGTACAAATTATCTAAGGTGATAGATAACACCTGAATAGACAAGTTAATCAGTATACCACACCTTTTATCTACATTAGATGTGTATTGTTTTATTGGCCCCCTCCCACCACCACACACACACACAAACAGCTGGGTACACACACCTTTTATCTACATTAGATGTGTATTGTTTTATTGGCCCTCTCCCACCACCACACACACACAAACAGCTGGGTACACACACCATTAACACAAACATAGGTCTGTAGCCCATCCTGACAACAGAAATTCTAAATCCTTTGAATTTTTGTCTCTGAAGATGTTACTCTAGGGTCTTTGAAAATATCAGTTGAATATCCTCAGTAATTTTCTTCAGGCAATTCAGGTAAAAAACAGACCCACAACCTAAGGTTAGACTCGTTAAACAGTAATTAATAAGTAATTATTACTTTTCTTTTTTATCTTGCAAGATATTTAACACAGCACATATATATATACCAGCAAACAATCTCACAGTCTCCAAATTTGCTAATGATATACTTATATAAAAACAAAACTATGAACATATTGATACCTCGTACATGATTTTAGTCAATAAATTAAAATGGAGATGGTGATTTGATTCAGGAAAAGACGGTCACCAAATATTTTCCTCTATTTTCAAGTTATCACCAAAATTTCTAGTGTACAAAATGTACATAATTTGATTTTAATTTGTTACAACTTCTAACATGTCCTGTCATCATATCAACTACCCTGAATACCAATGGCATTTATTAGGCCGTAAACATCATGGTCATAAGAGTATGCATGTACTTTCACCTGTCTGTAAATAACTTTATGGTTTCAATAAAAGCGCACAACTCATTCACAAAAGAATTTGTGTGACACGTCTTTCACTACAATCCAATTTAACAGCTTTCTAATGTTTAAATAGCGACAATTTCATTACCGAAAGGCAGATGATTCAAAGTATTAGCATTATATTTAAATATCTCTAGCTGAGAGGTGGGTTCTTGAATAATTTAGAGACTCTACTTATTCTAGGTAGTGTGAGATATCTGTATCACAACTTTGGTACCAAGTGTGTGATGTTTTCTAGGATAAATCTTTGAATCTCGTGTAATCGGGATCAGCTGGAAAATAACTGACGGGTCATGTCACTTTAGATATTGTCTTCTGTAAAAAATGAAGACCAAAGGGGTCTATAATTTCTAAAAGTCAGATGGCGGGCTTATTATGGCAGTATCGGTTTATATTTTACAGAATATGGTACATATTACAAAGCTTAAGGAATAAAGGTTGCATGAAAATGGCATTCTTCTAAAATATTCAATCGAAGGCAGGTAATCTTGGGGTACAAAGAAGACCAGTAGACAAAATTAATATATCTTCTTCAAAACTCTTCAAAAATTAAGCATAAACATTCTTCGATGACAATCAGGTACAGGAAGTAGAATATTTTTAACTTCCTGTGTGTAAGTGTCAATTTAGGAGCCGTAGCCATGTGAGAAGTAACAACAAGCCTTACAAGTGTTACTGCAGTGACTGCAAGTGAGTTCTTAAAACAGTCAACAATGACAGACAACCCATGTACCAGCTATTCCTTAGTGTTTATCTCTAAAATAGTAACACAGATACTGTAGAGCAAAACTATACCATACATATCAAGATATAAGCCCTTGCCTATTAATTATACTATAAGCTCATTCTAAGCCATTTCCTGTTTAGGAAAAAATACTATTTTATTGTCCTGTATAAATACCAGCCCACTAAATCGTAAGTAATGTACTAACTGGCCGTCCAGGCTTATTGTCCGGTAACACTTTCTTCATGAATCTCATATGATTGGAAACTCCTATACTAACTCCTGTATACAATATGTACATCCTATAACTATATAACAATGGTGTAATCCTAACATATCTGTAGCTTACAGGGTGTGTACATCCTATAACAATGGTGTAATCCTAACATATCTGTAGCTTACAGGGTGTGTACATCCTATAACAATGGTGTAATCCTAACATATCTGTAGCTTATAGGGTGTGTACATCTAATAACTATATAACAATTTTGTAATCCTAACATATCTGTAGCTTACAGGGTGTGTACATCCTATAACTATATAACAAATGGTGTAATCCTAACATATCTGTAGCTTACAGGGTGTGTACATCCTATAACAATGGTGTAATCCTAACATATCTGTAGCTTACAGGGTGTGTACATCCTATAACAATGGTGTAATCCTAACATACTTACAGGGTGTGTACATCCTATAACAATGGTGTAATCCTAACATATCTGTAGCTTATAGGGTGTGTACATCTAATAACTATATAACAATTTTGTAATCCCTAACATATCTATCCCCACTTTTCCCACTGTACCCCATCACTACCCCCACTACCTCATCACTACCCCCACTTTTCCCTGTACCCCATCACTACCCCCACTTTTTCCCCTGTACCCCATCACTACCACAACTTTTCCACCTGTAACCCATCACTACCCCCACTTTTCCCCCTGTACCCCATCACTACCCCCACTTTTCCCCCTGTACCTCATCACTACCCCCACTTTTCCCCCTGTACTCCATCACTACCTCCACTTTTCCCCCTGTACCCCATCACTACCCCCACTTCCCCCCACCCCCTCCTTCCACACCATATTACTATCTGCTACCAAGTGTTACAATATGTAAAATATTTACATACAATAAGTACTCTTCAAAGTTTTTTTGGTGCATGTTTACAGTAAACAGAGGTATAAGACACACAGAGCAACTCAGAGTGTGATGGTGTTTTCCCCAATGTGTACAAGTCATTTCACATTTATGTAAAACCATGTCTGTCTCTTGTCCTTGCTACATCCTGCCAAGAACTATAATTATACTGATTCAGGTATAACTTTCCTCCTTCATGACTCAGTATTTTCATTCCTTACTCATCTGTAAACAATTCCTAGTTCATTATCAGCTTGAGAATAATTCTGTTGTGATGTTCAGGACACTTCACTGAGACAAGTTAAAAATGTGTTAAAACAATATGTCAGTCTAGGTTTTCTTGGTACATTTCTGATCTCGGCAGATTTTCCTGTAGACAGAGCTGTAGACAGAGAAGATATTCACTGAAGTCTTACAAAGTCTTACAAAGACATAAGGGGTTGTCTCTCAAGGCAGGTTTAACAACAGAAAGAAGGGATGGTCCCTAAAGGCAGGTTTTACAATAGAGAGAAGGGATGGTTCCTCAAGGCAGGTTTTATAATAGAAAGAAGGGATGGTCTCTACAGGCCCGTTTTGCAATAGAAAGAAGGGAAGGTCCCCCAAGACAGGTTTTACGATAGAAAGAATGAATAATCCCTCAAGGCAGGTTTCATAGTAAGAAGAAAGGATGGTTCCTCAAGACAGGTTTTACTGCAAACAGAAGGGATGGTCTATTATTAGACTGAAGGAGTGGTCTCTCAAGACAAGTATGTTTCGGGGATCTCTGCTTTCTGTTCATTTTGCTGTAAAGAAAATAGTATTTTTCTATGATTTTCAATCACCCCTG